TTGAGTCTATGGTGCAGTGTTGAGTCTATGGTGCAGTGTTGAGTCTATGGTGCAGTGTTGAGTCTATGGTGCAGTGGTGAGTCTATTGGACAGTGTTGGAGTCTATGGTGCAGTGTTGAGTCTATGGTGCAGTGTTGAGTCTATGTTGAGTCTATGGTGCCGTGTTTGAGTCTAGTGAGTGGCAGTGTTGAGTCTATGGTGCAGTGTTGAGGTCTATGGTGCAGTGTTGAGTCTATGGTGGCAGTGTTGAGTCTATGGTGCAGTGTGGTCTAGGTGCAGTGTGAGTCTATGGGCTGAGTGTGAGTCTATGGGCAGTGTTGAGGTCTATTGGGCAGTGTTGAGTCTATGGTGCAGTGTTGAGTCTATGGTGCAGTGTTGAGTCTATGGTGCAGTGTTGAGTCCTATGGTGCAGTGTTGAGTCTATGGTGCAGTGTTGAGTCTATGGTGCAGTGTTGAGAGTCTATGTGCAGTGTTGAGTCTATGTGCAGTGTTGAGTCTATGTGCAGTGTTGAGTCTATGGTGAAGTTGTGAGTCTATGGTGGCAGTGTTGAGTCTATGGTGCAGTGATGAGTCTATGGTGCAGTGTTGAGTCTATGGTGCAGTGTTGAGTCCTGATGGTGCAGTGTTGAGTCTATGGTGCAGGTGCGTATGGTGAGTGTGAGTCTATGGTGCAGTGTGGAGGTCTAGTGGGCAGTGTTGAGTCTATGGTGCAGTGTTGAGTCTATGGTGCAGTGTGAGTCTATGGTTGCAGTGTGAGTCTGGTGCAGTGTTGAGTCTATGGTGCAGTGTTGAGTCTATGGGCAGTGTTGAGTCTATGGTGCAGTGTGAGTCTATGGTCAGTGTTGAGTCTATGGTGCAGTGTTGAGTCTATGGTGCAGTGTTGAGTCTATGGTGCAGTGTTGAGTCTATGGGCAGTGTTGAGTCTATGGTGCAGTGTTGAGTCTATGGTGCAGTGTTGAGTCTATGGTGCAGTGTTGAGTCTATGGTGCAGTGTTGAGTCTATGGTGCAGTGTTGAGTCTATGGTGCAGTGTTGAGTCTATGGGCAGTGTTGAGTCTATGGGCAGTGTTGAGTCTGGGCAGTCGCAGTGTTGAGTCTATGGGCAGTGTTGAGTCTGTGGGCAGTGTTGAGTCTGTGGTGCAGTGTTGAGTCTATGGTGCAGTGTGAGTCTATGGTGCAGTGTTGAGTCTATGGCAGTGTTGAGTCTATGGGCAGTGTTGAGTCTATGGTGCAGTGTTGAGTCTATGGTGCAGTGTGAGTCTATGCAGTGCAGTTATGGCAGTGTTGAGTCTATGGTGCAGTGTTGCATTTTGGCTATGATTGCAGTGTTGAGGTCTATGTTGCAGTGTTGAAGTACTATGGTGCAGTGTTGAGTCTATGGTGCAGTGTTTGAAGTCTATGGTGCAGTGTTGAGTCTATGGTGCAGTGTTGAGTCTATGGTGCAGGTTGTTGAGTCTATGGTTGCAGTGTTGAGTCTATTGGTGCAGTGTTGAGTCTATGGTGCAAGTGTTGAGTCTATGGTGCCAGTGTTGAGTCTTGGTACAGTGTGAGTCTATGGTGCAGTGTTAGAGTCTATGGTGCAGTGTTAGAGGTCTATGGTGCAGTGTTGAGTTATGGGCAGTGTTGAGTCTATGTTGCAGTTGTTAGTCTATGGTGCAGTGTGAGTCTATGTTGCAGTGTGAGTCTATGGTGGCAGTGTTGAGCTATGGTGCAGTGTTGAGTCTATGGTTGCAGTGTTGAGTCTATGGTGCAGTGTTGAGTCTATGGTGCAGTGTTGAGTCTATGGTGCAGTGTTGAGTCTATGGTGCAGTGTTGAGTCTATGGTGCAGTGTTGAGTCTATGGTGCAGTGTTTAGTCTATGGTGCAGTGTTGAGTCTATGGTGCAGTGTTGAGTCTATGGGCAGTGTTAGTCTAGGGCAGTGTTGAGTCTATGGTGCAGTGTTGAGTCTATGGTGCAATGCTGAGTCTATGTTGCAGTGTTGAGTCTATGGTGCAGTGTTGAGTCTATGGTGCAGTGTTGAGTCTATGGTGCAGTGTTGAGTCTATGGTGCAGTGTTGAGTCTATGGTGCAGTGTTGAGTCTATGGTGCAGTGTTGAGTCTATGGTGCAGTGTTGAGTCTATGGTGCAGTGTTGAGTCTATGGTGCAGTGTTGAGTCTATGGTGCAGTGTTGAGTCTATGGTGCAGTGTTGAGTCTATGGTGCAGTGTTGAGTCTATGGTGCAGTGTTGAGTCTATGGTGCAGTGTTGAGTCTATGGTGCAGTGTGAGTCTATGGTGCAGTGTTGAGTCTATGGTGCAGTGTTGAGTCTATGGTGCAGTGTTGAGTCTATGGTGCAGTGTTGAGTCTATGGTGCAGTGTTGAGTCTATGGTGCAGGTTGAGTCTATGGTGCAGTGTTGAGTCTATGGTGCAGTGTTGAGTCTATGGTGCAGTGTTGAGTCTATGGTGCAGTGTTGAGTCTATGGTGCAGTGTTGAGTCTATGGGCAGTGTTGAGTCTATGGTGCAGTGTTGAGTCTATGGTGCAGTGTTGAGTCTATGGTGCAGTGTTGAGTCTATGGTGCAGTGTTGAGTCTATGGTGCAGTGTTGAGTATGGTGCAGTGTTGAGTCTATGGTGCAGTGTTGAGTCTATGGTGCAGTGGAGTCTATGGTGCAGTGTTGAGTCTATGTGCAGTGTTGAGTCTATGGTGCAGTGTTGAGTCTATGGTGCAGTGTTGAGTCTATGGTGCAGTGTTGAGTCTATGGTGCAGTGTTGAGTCTATGGTGCAGTGTTGAGTCTATGGTGCAGTGTTGAGTCTATGGTGCAGTGTTGAGTCTATGGGCAGTGTTGAGTCTATGGTGCAGTGTTGAGTCTATGGTGCAGTGTTGAGTCTATGGTGCAGTGTTGAGTCTATGGTGCAGTGTTGAGTCTATGGTGCAGTGTTGAGTCTATGTGCAGTGTTGAGTCTATGGTGCAGTGTTGAGTCTATGGTGCAGTGTTGAGTCTATGGTGCAGTGTTGAGTCTATGGTGCAGTGTTGAGTCTATGGTGCAGTGTTGAGTCTATGGTGCAGTGTTGGAGTCTATGGTGCAGTGTTGAGTCTATGGTGCAGTGTTGAGTCTATGGGCAGTGTTGAGTCTATGGTGCAGTGTTGAGTCTATGGTGCAGTGTTGGTCTATGGTGCAGTGTTGAGTCTATGGTGCAGTGTTGAGTCTATGGTTGCAGTGTTGAGTCTATGGTGCAGTGTTGAGTCTATGGTGCAGTGTTGAGTCTATGGTGCAGTGTTGAGTCTATGGTGCAGTGTTGAGTCTATGGTGCAGTGTTGAGTCTATGGTGCAGTGTTGAGTCTATGGTGCAGTGTTGAGTCTATGATGCAGTGTTGAGTCTATGGTGCAGTGTTGAGTCTATGGTGCAGTGTTGAGTCTATGGTGCAGTGTTGAGTCTATGTGCAGTGTTGAGTCTATGGTGCAGTGTTGAGTCTATGGTGCAGTGTTGAGTCTATGGTGCAGTGTTGAGTCTATGGTGCTAGTGTGAGTCTATGGTTGCAGTGTTGAGTCTATGGTGCAGTGTTTGAGTCTATGGTGCAGTGTTGAGTCTATGGTGCAGTGTTGAGTCTATGGTGCAGTGTTGAGTCTATGGTGCAGTGTTGAGTCTATGGTGCAGTGTTGAGTCTATGGTGCAGTGTTGAGTCTATGGTGCAGTGTTGAGTCTATGGTGCAGTGTTGAGTCTATGGTGCAGTGTTGAGTCTATGGTGCAGTGTTGAGTCTATGGTGCAGTGTTGAGTCTATGGTGCAGTGTTGTTGAGTCTATGGTGCAGTGTTGAGTCTATGGTGCAGTGTTGAGTCTATGGTGCAGTGTTGAGTCTATGGTGCAGTGTTGAGTCTATGGTGCAGTGTTGAGTCTATGGTGCAGTGTTGAGTCTATGGTGCAGTGTTGAGTCTATGGTGCAGTGTTGAGTCTATGGTGCAGTGTTGAGTCTATGGTGCAGTGTTGAGTCTATGGTGCAGTGTTGAGTCTATTGCAGTGTTGAGTCTATGGTGCAGTGTTGAGTCTATGGTGCAGTGTTGAGTCTATGGTGCAGTGTTGAGTCTATGGTGCAGTGTTGAGTCTATGGTGCAGTGTTGAGTCTATGGTGCAGTGTTGAGTCTATGGTGCAGTGTTGAGTCTATGGTGCAGTGTTGAGTCTATGGTGCAGTGTTGAGTCTATGGTGCAGTGTTGAGTCTATGGTGCAGTGTTGAGTCTATGGTGCAGTGTTGAGTCTATGGTGCAGTGTTGAGTCTATGGTGCAGTGTTGAGTCTATGGTTGCAGTGTTGAGTCTATGGTGCAGTGTTGAGTCTATGGTTGCAGTGTTGAGTCTATGGTGCAGTGTTGAGTCTATGGTGCCGTGTGAGTCTATGTGCAGTGTGAGTCTATGGTGCAGTGTTGAGTCTATGGTGCAGTGTGAGTCTATGGTGCAGTGTTGAGTCTATGGGCAGTGTTGAGTCTATGGTGCAGTGTTGAGTCTATGGTGCAGTGTTGAGTCTATGGTGCAGTGTTGAGTCTATGGTGCAGTGTTGAGTCTATGGTGCAGTGTTGAGTCTATGGTGCAGTGTTGAGTCTATGGTGCAGTGTTGAGTCTATGGTGCAGTGTTGAGTCTATGGTGCAGTGTTGAGTCTATGGTGCAGTGTTGAGTCTATGGTGCAGTGTTGAGTCTATGGGCAGTGTTGAGTCTATGGTGCAGTGTTGAGTCTATGGTGCAGTGTTGAGTCTATGGTGCAGTGTTGAGTCTATGGTGCAGTGTTGAGTCTATGGTGCAGTGTTGAGTCTATGGTGCAGTGTTGAGTCTATGGGCAGTGTTGAGTCTATGTTGCAGTGTTGCTCAATGTACAGATAAAGTTGATTGCAAGGAGAGGGGTGCCAGGAGGGAGAATGACTGAAAATGGAATTGGCCACAGGGAGGTGGAGGAAGAGAGAGAGAGAGGGGCCACCGTAACGACGGGTCCTCCGACGGTGCACGCGGCTCTGGGCTGGGACCAGTTACCGTTAGCGACGTAGGTCCGGCACAGTGGGCTCAGGGGGGTCAGCGGGGTCAGCGGCGTCAGCGGGGTCAGCGGGTTGTGGGGATAGCTGCACGCGTCCCCTGCTGCGGTGTCGACTCCGCCGAGACAAAGCGAGTCCTCGTCCTCCTCCCTCACGTTGTTCTCGGACACGGTGGAGCTCCTGAGGTGGGACGGCAGGAAGAGGATTGGGAGGCAAGGCCCGGTTTGCGGTGTCACCGGTGGAGACACGATAGTTTACCCACTCGGTTTTGTGTTGTTGTAAATAATTGTGCGGCTGTAAGCAAAACTGAATTCTGTGATTCCACATACGAATATATTTTTTCTATCAGTCTAATGGCTTTCCAGACCAATATTGTGTCCAGTCGCATTTGTTCATGTGAGCAAACTCTGGACCAGTTTTGTCTCATCAGTAGGGCCCCATAATTTAGACGGCGTGCTCTTGCCAATAACACATCATAAGCCAGCGGCAAAGGAAGAATGGTGGTGCAACAATAGGAGCTTGATCGTGTGTGCGAGTGTGAGCGATCGTGTGAGCGATCGTGTGAGCGTGAGAGCGAGCATGAGCGAGCGTGAGTGCGAGTGTGCGAGTGTGAGCGAGTGTGAGCGTGAGTGCGGGTGTGAGCGAGTATTAGCGTGAGCGTGAGTGCGACTGCCACCTCCTTGGCATGGGCCTCTTCTTGTACTCCTGCACGCGGCTCTTGATGGACTCCTGTCCCGGCGGCTCCACTTCGGTCGACATGACGCTGTTGAAGCGGTCCCGTTGCTCGTCGTTGGCCATTCGTGAGAAAAACTAAGGCGGTCGAAAACAATGAAGCACCCTCGAGCTGATTTCCCAGCATGCCTTCACTTAGCACGTACACCACGCGTCTGCGTCTTTAGACGAGAGGTTATTCTTCGCCACCACCACCACCTCCGCCGTCATCATCACGGGTAGCGTTGTTATCTAATTTAACAAGTAGCCCTTCACGACCAATGGCATCATCAACACCGCGTTTGTCCTTTGTTATTATCTTCACCGTCATCGTTTATGTAATTACTACCATAATCGTCACTTAAATGACGCTTGCCATTCTATTACTATTCACTCGCCCTCGAAGAGAGAGAGAGAGAGACAGGATGGCTCGGTGCGAGGAACCGCAAGCAAGCAGGAATGCAGCCACTCGGTGAGATGGTGCCAACAATTGCCAACTGTCCTGCATTGTATTAAGATCGTACCAGAGTACCCAGAAGAAAAAGAAACCACGGTCCCATACCATCGGAATAGGTGGAGTCCACATTTAAGCTTTACTGCTATCTCCGGGCGAGCCAGGGCTATGGCACCTTGACGCCCACGGGAAGTGAAGTTTCGCATCATTGTGCGGTCCACCAACCCTCGCTGCCTCCACAGTGCTGGCTTACAGGCCACGTGCGTAGCCTTCCGCCGCCACCGCCTGCCTAAATCGCTATCCATACGTCGCATATCCCACGGTCCGTTCACTCGTCCATCCGTCCGTCGTCAGAGCACGATCTGCCCCGTCAGCACATGCGGCGGGCGGAGAGGAGTGCTCACCATGTTGTGCGTGTCTTGTGTGTCGTCGCAGTCATCGTCGCCACTGTTGGCCGAATCTCCGTTCTCCTCTCCCGGCGTTCCAGTGGCCTCTGTGAGTGTGTGGCAAAGCGCAGCATGTCGGTGTGTGTTGAACTTCTTTCGCTCCGTACATAGCCAACCGTGCTAATCGGAGGTGAAGCACAGCCGAGCGTGGCATGGCATGGCATGCACCGAGACCGACGTGGTTGGTGCACCAGTGTTCATTTTGTCAAAGGAGCGAGTGATGAAGACGTTCAACGGTTTTTTTGGTCAACAAAGACTAAATGTGTGAATAAACATCATCAGCCACAATGAGTCAGACTACGCTGACACAAATGAAGGCATGACCGACTATGACGAGAATTTTTTTTCCCACCAGTCTGAAAGAAGACAAAGACTAAAGATAAGTTAGTGATGTTACTAGAGACAGCTGTTAATTGAGGAAGATGGAAAAGGACAATTGGACATCAAATGTACAAGAAATGTTTGATACTGCTTTATTTGACCTGACTGACAGAGTAAAATTTCCTATCGAAGATTTTGAATAACAGTGCACAGGTTGTCAATGATGTAAAATGCTGAGTAAGTTAATCCACATGGCTCTGAGCATGGCAATGAGAAGATAAAGCCATGCCATCGTACTCTTGAATTCGTTTCCCAGAATGTCCTTTACTTCCCAAGTATATAATGAGTGTATTTAATTGACAGGTTACCGTAGTTAACAATTTAATATTTAATTACTTACAAAGAAACACTTACGCAGAAGATTCCATAATAAAATACCTTGGCTGCTTCTCTTACATTTAAATCTGCGTAACTTCACCAGACATCAGCTCATTAAATAAGCGCTTAAATTAGACATTGAAAGTACACTCACCACACTCTGGCTTGCCGAGGTTTGACTGCGAGGGCAGAGTTCGTTGCTTTATAACCTTGACTCGCTGCTTCTGTCAGACACAAGAATGGCATTGTTATAGACTGTGCACCGCAAAAAACAAACAACCACAATCAATAAATGGCCCCCTACTGACGTCGCAACTTTGGAACTGTCGTCGTCATTAAACCAGAACAAACTCGACATTATTATAAATCACAACTTACGGGAGCGTCAAGACGACAAGTGTATGGATTGTGCAGAATGATCGTGAATTCCAACTGCTATCGAGTGTGGGCAATTTCCCACAATTGCCACCATTCAGTTTACGATCGCCTTGTCCCAGAGCCCGCATCCGTTTACTTAACAGCTGATGGGAAGTTTGACTGTTGCGAGTTTTTCCCATTCACAATGCCTTTCCGAGTAGAGGGCCGACTCCCGTAATATGGGACCGATTCGCGCACTGAAAATCGACGTGGCAAATACCAATCTTAAAAGAGCTACTTGGCAACAAAGCCACCGCAATCGGCACCACCGCCACCTCCCACCCCACTCCGCCCCTTCTACCCCCTCACTTTTATTCCTCTCCCCACCTCCTTCCAAACAAGAACCTACCTGGGTGGGGCCGTGAGCACAATTTTCTCCCCTCCCCTACAACCCCCAGGAGTACCGAGTTTGGTCTTTTGTCCGCTGAGTTTCTGTGTCCTGCTCCACCCCCCTTCTCGTTACAGTTCATGCTTTGTGGTGTTGGGCTCTTGTGAAACCATAAATGCGTGCAATAAAAAAAGACCGCTAACCAACGCACCAACGCAGGCGTTCTCCCCCCCCCCCCCCCCCCCCACCGCCGCCTCATCCCACCTTGACAATCTTCTGCCGGACTGGGGGATGCTTTTTTTTGCTCGAGCTGCCATCGCTCTCGCTCGTCGACTCCTCCGAGCTCTTGCCGCTCTTGCCATCGCTCGCTTGCCAGAACTGCTCGATCGTGTGCGGGTTCAGCCGCGCGGGCAGCGTTTGCTGGGTAGGTGGGGGGGAGGTGGACAGAGGGCACAGCTAAGAAGACTTCTCAGCTTCAATACGCAAGGGTGGCGCTCGCGTGCGGTCGGCTTTGTCGCTGCGTCTCCCCAGGCGGCCGCCAACCTCCAGGACGTCAGTCAGGGAAGCGGCCACGCGCTGGAAGCTGGGGATGACCCTGCTAGTAGACCCTACTACCACCCAGTGGTTACCGCCTTGATGACAGACCGGATACGCAACGATCGAGGCTTACAAACAGAAACCTGGATGTATATTTTACAGATTACTTGCCATACGTGATGTGTCCGCCCCAAACCTCATCTCCACCTATCTTGCCACTAAGCTGCGCTTTTCCACACATTCTACTGTTCCACGTGCTTCTGTGTGTTCATGTGTGCCCCTCTACATTCCTGTGTGCTGTCAAGGTCTAAATAAAAAACACAAAACATATATTTAAACGGGCTTATGCAAACCACTAGAGGTACAGTTATGAGTGGTGTCAGCGTCAGTGTGCTGTGAAGGCTATTTTCATTGCTGGTTGGCCAGCTGGATAAGGTTAACCACCGGTCTAGAATTTATTTTCCTTACTGGCGTGCCGTTGTGTAATGATGAGCGCACTGGACTCCACGGGTTGCGGATCCCAATTGCCTGGTGTAGCAGTGAACACAATTGCCAGGTTTCTTATATACCCCGCCCCCTCCGCGTCCAGCCAGCAGTGTTAATCGGTTCACCACAGCAGCCAGGTCCTGTGCAGTGTAAAATACTGCTCATTCTTTACTTAGACAGGAGGAGAGAATCCACTGAGCTAAGAAGCTCTTTTTCACAGATGTCCAGTGTGGGTGGTTTCAGCATGTCACAGCAGCAAACAATACAACAAACGTTCAGAGTGCAAAATAGATAAAATGGTAAGCAAGCCACTGGATATAAATGAATAATAAATTAATGACTTGCATAAAAGACATATTCAACAAGCTTGGGCAAGGCAGCAAAAACAACAACAACAAAAGAGTTCCAGACCACCAAAGATAACAACGCAGCAATAGCCCCTCAAATAAAGACGTCCGGGCTAAGGGCACACACGAGTACGAATGCTACCCTCTCTGCAGGGGCTCTTCTCCAAGAGCTCCCTTTTCCGCGTGTGGCCGCTTTCCTTTTCTCTCGTTGACATAATTCGCGTGCCTCCCTGTGCACCCCCCGCCCCGCCCCCGGTGCCACGTGCCACTCACGAGGTCCCTGGTGGAGTCGGCGACGTTGGTCGCCTTGTGCAGCCGCGCCGTGAGCAGCAGCACCTCGCCGTCGCTCCGCACTTGCGCGATCTGCAGCTCGTAGTTCTTCTCCTCCAGCTCGCGGATCTGCTTGCGGTTCTTGTCCTTGTCCAGGAGGCTCTGCGAGTACTGTCGCTGAGACTCGTCCCGCAAGGTGAACGCCTGAGACGAGGGGGGAGGGGGGCGCATTGCAATGTTTTGCTACTGTGTGTGGGAAAACTGATGTACTTTCAAGAGGCACTCTTTTTGCCTAAACCGCGAGTTTGTGAAAAACTTGAATAGAAAATGTAACGTGCACGTTACGGGAAATGCAACTTTTATAGAACAAAGCGAGACCTTGTGTATTGCAACAGTGGCATGAAGAACGTTGAATTTTTTATAAATAGTTTTTGTAATTTTGCTCAAATTTGATCGGAATTGTACTAATGGTGTCATGTCATAAGAGGAAGTGTCCATTCTTGTTTTCTAAGTTCTTTTTCAGAAACGACCTGGCCACAAACGATAGCTCAATGAAGTAGCTTATCATGTGGAAATGTATAGCAGGCAAATACTCGAAACGCGTGACGTTGATTCTAAATGTGGAGGGAAAAACCAGAGGGCCCAAATAAAAATCCACGAAACCACGGGAAGAACATGCAAACTCCAAATATACAGCAGCAGGTGTCAGGGTCGGGATCGAACCCACGACCTCCTGCACACCAGGCGAGGTAGTTCACATCTCCTAGCCACCGTGATGATGATGAGAGACGCAAACTCCAAATATACAGCAGCAGGTGTCAGGGTCGGGATCGAACCCACGACCTCCTGCGTACCAGGCGAGGTAGTTAACACCTCGCCACTGTGGAGCACCTCACCTGATCGCGCTCCCGCTCCACCTCCTCCAGCTGCTGCAGCACGGTGCCGATGCGGTGCTTGTACATCTCGCAGTCCTTGAGAAGCGTGCTGCAGCGCAGCTCCAGGTCCTGCTTCTCCTCCAGGTACTGAGCACGGCGAGCGGAGAGGAGGCGCAGGGGGGGGCGGGGGGGGGGGGCGATGCGAACGTTTAGGGGGACAGCGGACGCGGCCCAAACGGCGGCACGCTCGCCGCCCTTTGCCGAGGCTGCTCGCGGTTCTAGTCCGCCGGGCCATGCTCGTTAATGCTGCGTTCACATCGCGCATATCTTATGGGCCAATCTGCTTCACGGTGGATGTAAAAACGATCCTGCGATGCCGTTCGATGAACAGTAAGGCTATTGTGTGCGCCGGTATCATGATCCAAATTTAGAAAGAGAAAAATAAATACCCGGAAACCACTTAAATGTGGAAACAGCGACTGTCACCCTCAACTGCAAAAACGTGGCAGGAAGCTCCTGCTTTTCTAGTTAGACAAAACGTGAAAAATTAAATAGTTATTGGCTGCTCCGTTATCACCACAATACCTTTTCATGAGCAATATCTTCACATTTAAAGTCACGGTAAAAGGTGTGCTGATAATATCATCATGATGCCAATTACAATAAAATCATAGCCATTATCATAATATTGCACAGTTTACACTTGAGTACATGAAACCAATCACTATCACGATCATCATCACAACACTGAGAACACACCAGGACAATCATCCGCCGATCTGCAAAACACAAGATGCAGATGAGGACATCAAGCCAAGCAAACCAAGTGAGAATCACCTCTAAACTTATCATGCCTACATTCCCCACCTCACGATTTCCCACGCGATTAAACATTTAAAACATCGCCGACGCGCCACGGCGATGATCGCATCGTCGTCACCTTATCTCGCAGCTCCTCGGCTTGCCGCATCTCCTCGCGCAGGGAGAAGATTTTGTTCACCAGGTCGTGGCGCTCCTCCAGCGCCTCACGACGATCTGTCTCCAAGATGTCCAGCATGGCCTGATCCGAGTCCGGCGAACCCTGGCTACGGGACTGGAACCACCAAGATGGGCCGGATACAAGAGATTGACTGCTTAATAACTGCTCAACCCAAGCTATAAATGCTCTGGTACTTGCATTGCCTTTGGACCGTTCGCCTTTGGTGTTCTCCGTTCTGACACTACTGAGACGAGGCCACAAAGAAGGTGGTCTGGAGTATGCCAATCAGTTTAAAAGACAATGACATATATTACCACAGCACGTTCGTTTGCATGTTCACCACAAGTACGTGCGGTTAATGCAGACTTGATTCTTCGCACAAGGTATCTATTTGGTGTTCCAACATCATAACGCCTCCTGTTTTATTGCCAGAAAGGGTAAAGTATATTCTTATTTTGTTCATCAGAATAAAATACTTTTCACCCCGGCAAAGGTCGTCTCTATAAAGAAAGATCTTCTGACATCGTGGGGGGGGGGGGGGGGGGTAAATTGTATGCACTGCCGACGCACGGCTTCTCGTGCTGCGTATTGTTCTGGCACCCTGTCTGACGTTTTGCTTCACATGCTTCCGCAGCAACTGAAATGGTCGCTCCCGACATGAGGCAAAGGAAGGTCAGACGTCACGGTGAATGGCACGCGGCGGTAATGCAACCGCGGGAAGACCGCCGGCGCGGCAGAGATGTTGGCGCGTCGTGGGACGTCTTGTTTTCTACAGTAGAACTACTCTGAACGAGCACCCCTCTTAACGACTAATCGCCTAACGACAGGCCTCCATAGAGCCCAATGTGTAGTGTAGTGCCTCCATAAAGCCCAATGTGTTTTCGCTTACTGACCATTCCCCTGTTAACGACAGGCTGTTGTGGGTACAGTAAATGTTAAGTAATGCATTGATGAACTTGTTAATTTTACTATTATGTGTTTATAAAGTTGTTCGTATCTTTGTGTGTTAATATCCATTGTTTAAATATTATACAGTACGTTTTTTGGTGAAAAAGGGTTACTTTCGATGCCATCGGAAGAAGTAAGCCTTCTTTCGGTAAAGTCACGTGGATATAATTTATTATTATTATTTTATTTCATTTTCTATCTACGTGACTTTACCGATAGAACCAAAGAATATGAATTCCTGCAGTCACGAAAGCTTTAAGGTCAAAATTAAGCCTTTAACGTGTATTTCCTATACTCGCTTAATGACCAAATCACTTTACAAACAGTTTCTTGAACCAATCACAATCGTTGAGGGGTTTTTACTGTACGTTTGTTCCAAATCCACTGTGTTTTATTTCAATTTAAGCATTTGCTTACTTATAAGTTGAACAATGTAGTTTTGTTGTAGATAGTTTTTTTTTACCAATGTAAAAAAGTTACCTAATTATACAGGAAAGCATTATACGCCGTATGTGCCACCTTCACACACATACCTGTCAACCCCTTATCAGTGCCTACCTTATTAGACCAATTCAGACCTTATTGGTCACCCAGTGCCCTTATAAACCTCAACGTTCATCCTACAAAGCCCGTATTGAAACGGCTGTACACTGTATGGTCCTGAAAACTCAATTTCCTTGTACAAGAATATGGGTAAACAGTGCTGATAGGTATGCACACATCTGCTCCATAGATGGAAAATGAAGGACGAGATGTAGCACAATTGCGGCCATGTAACACAACCTACAGACCATACAGTAAAGCTACAGCAGCAGTGTGCATTTCAGAGAAATAGCACAACTACACAAATACTCCCTGCAGCAGCCTCGAGATTGGATTTTATCTCCTGAACATATTGTCATCAACCGCAAGAACAGAATAAGCTTTCACTGAAAGAAAGCAAATAGCTTAATGGCAAACGATCGTGTGTCATCGGCAGTATAAAACCAGCCCTTGAGTTGCGCCTGCCATAGATACGACCGTGTGAATCTGGTAAATGGAGTAGAGGAATGGGAGTGAAAAGGTTCATTGGCTTTCAAAGGGAAATTTATACAAAAAGCCATTTTTTTTGGCCAAACCTGTTTTGGACAATTAACAAAAAGCATGTGAATTAAATATATATATATATATATACAGGAACTCCTCTAATTATGAACATTCAACGTATTAACTTTCAGAGATATACAAACAAACCTGTCCGTATGTCATGTAGATGTCACATGAAGAACCAGTGGCATCGACATCTGAAGAACATCAAGAACCAGTGGCATCGAGATCTACTGGCGATTATACAACTCTTAAAGCCTTTCCCCGTGTTTAATGTCCATACCGTACAACTTGTTTGGAATCGACAGGAGTAGTTGGACTTACGAACAAATAGACTTACGAACAGACCTCTGGAACCTAACTCGTTCGTAAGACGAGCCAGTCCCTGGATTTAAAAAAGCTACCCAATTTCACCATTTTCGTCCTTCCACACCATACCCACCGCAGCGAGCAGGAAGTCACGCCAACACAAATTAGATGCAGGAACCTGATGCCGATTAACTTAAACACGTGGGTTTGCACAGCTAATATTACGATTCATTGTTGATTTTTGGGTAGGGTCCACACAACAATCTGGCCTATTTGATGCCGCGAAGACACGCCACTTGCCCGACACGGCCGAACAAATGTAATTGCCACGTGTGCTAATGATGTTCCAATTATTATTGTTATTATTTCAAATCACTAGTGAGAAAAAAAACTATTCTTACAACCAAATGTAGCAATTCGATGCAATTGCAAAGGTTGTTAACGATACGAATTTCGCCAGATTGTTATCAAGATGATAACAGATTGTTATCAAGATCAAGATGATAACAATCTGGCCAAATTCCTCGATTGAGATCGACTCCTTCACTTGGAATGCGTGCGTGTGAGAGCCGATCATTTACAATTGGTATCGAGAAGCTACTTAAACGACGAAAATTAAGCAAAATGGGATTTGATTCTCGTTGAAATCAATCGCAACCATGAATATACACAGTTATTTTAAGCACATAAAGGTAAAGGTGCAGCCCTGCAATTACTCACGCCACTCCTCACAGAAAATCCTCCACCTGGAGGAAGTTCAAGGATCCGTCGAGGCGAGAACTTTGGTCTACTCTTCCCCGCTTGCCAGACATCTCGGGACAGGTGGGAGTACCCACTCTTCACCCCACCACATGCCATTTGTACTGCTGGGTGGGCAGCGGCAGACGGATTCAATAAACTCGCCCTATCATTTCAACCACCATGCTGGGAGTTCAAAGCAGTGACCCTCTGGATTGGAAGTCAAGTGTCGTTACCCTTTACACCATGGCAGCATTCCTGTTGAATCACGTAGAAGGACAAACTGTCCAGTAAAAGGTCAAGTGATTTCTTGCTCAAATGAATATTGAGGTGGCACTCATCTTCTGTTTTCAGCGCTCAGTCGATGGTGGAAATTCCTATGCCGGGGACGTGTCTGTCCATGGGCCAACCACCGTTGAATTCCCCACAAAGTGATACATATTTTATTGACCTCAGAGGAATGGTGGGCTGAGCCAACCGCCAACCAGGATTTGAACGCGTAAACTTCCAGTTGCAGGCCGCTCAAACTAGCACCAAGCTACCTGGCCAGTTTATAATACCGACAGATTAACCCTTTCCCATTCCAATGACGTACGTGTAATAAAACTTAATCGGTACCGAGGCTGCCACAAGGCCATGCGGGAGGGCGTGTGGCACAGTTGGACGCCAGCTATCAGAGTGTGGTCATGTCGCTCCGGTTCGCTGCGGTGAATACAGTCACTTTAAAAACAGCGCTGCAACGCCTCTCTAAATAAAATTAACGCCGAACCGCTTACGCGTTCGGAGATTCAGCGGTAAATGGGACCCACCCGGCAATGTGCAGTCGTCTCGCAATGGAAAAGGTTTAAGCTTCACAACCTTTATTACCGCGCTGACACACAGGACATCCTTCACACACACACAGGCGATGGGCGCGACACACTCCAGCGCGCACGCACACACACACACACACGTGCACACATGGGCAAGGGCGCTCCTGCACGTACCTGCAGCAGCACCTGCATCTCGGCCACCTTGGTGCTCAGCGCCATGTTCGTCCGCTCCAATTCCACCAGCCGCTCTCGGCCCGGGTTCGCCTCCATGTCGTGCTGCAGCCGCAAAGATGCGCGGCGTTCCAGCGCATACTCCTCCTCCGCCTTGTTCAGGCTGTGCTTGAGCTGGTCGATCTGTGGCGGCGCGGCACACAGCTCACACGGATTAATTTCTGAGTCCCTTGCTTCATTTCGCCCTCTGTAGGACGTTCAAAAAAACTCAGGTGGGGGCCACAACACGGTCAGTGTTAATTTAAACAAAATTCTTTTAAAACGAAGTGTTGAACGTTAAACAGAATGAGGGGAGTCACGATACGATCTGCTTCTTACGTCGATCACGCGTTCTGTTCGAGCTCCCGTCCTCGACGTGAATATTGTCAAAGCAGATTTGACTTGACGATGAGAATTCGCACTCATTATACGTCCACGGCAGAGGGGCTCAACCCCCTCCAGTCCCACAAACATTATGGGGCTGCCTCTCTTTGGTAATGACACTGAACCTCAAGTGGCCCATTACGGTCGGTGTATGGCATTCGCAATGGTGGTCTGGGTGACCTTAACACTGGCTCTGCTTTTAAGTTGGTCCTGTGCCTGTCAGTGGTGTAACTGCCACATTCCTGTGACGGGGCCCAATCTATCCACAGCACGACTCAGGGTAGGGTGTGGGGGGGGACGGTGAACCCGGGAGCTCTCACCTCGAGCTGCAGGTCACGCGAGCGGATGACGGCCATGTTCTTCTCCTCGCTGAGCTGCGCGTACTTCATGGCGAGCGTGTAGTTCTCGTCCTTCACCTTGATGAGCTCGTCGTTGTAGCCGTTCCTCTCCTCCTTCATGCGTCCGAAGCGGTCCTTGTAGGCCTGCAGCTCGCGGTTCTGCAGCGCCAGCCGGCGGCCATCCGTCTCGAGGCGGGAGGCGCGCTCGTGCAGCTCGGCGCGCTGCTGCTTGCCCTCGGCGAGCTGCAGCTGCTGGCGCATCACCTCGGCCATGAGGAAGTGCAGCAGCCCGTCCTGGCCCTCCACACCTGCGAAGGCGCGGACAGAAGTCCGATTCGGTGTGGCCCGGCCATGTTCGAGAAAAGCCGCCACTCGCAGCGGAGGTGCAGGCAAAAGGGGGGTCAAAGGTGTAGCCCTGCGATTGCTTTGCACGCACCGCTGCTGGTGGGGAGGGCGCACCGCTTGAGGGAGCTCTCGAGAGCCCCTCGAGGGCATTTGGGCCTAGTCTTACAGGCTGGACAGGCTTTTTGGAAAGGTTGGGCATACCCACATTTTACCCCTTCGTACGTGACCTTGCCGATCGACTGCAATGTACCCATTAATACGGCGGGCGATTTAAGAAGCTTGCCCCATTGATTCGACTTTTTTCATACTTCTGCAACAGTCTTTGTTCAATGGCTGCCCGGCCACTGCACCGCGTGCTTTCGGATGCGCTCCTGCGGCCGTTTGGAACGCTCTTGCTTCCGATATTTAGAAGGCACTGGAGCTATTCACTTTTAAATCTAGATTGAAAACTAATTTCTTCAGAACTGTTTTTTGTCTTTAGTTTGTTGTCCTTCCCCCTCACCTCAGATTAGCATGGTTGGCTACGTATGGTGCGAAAGAAGCTCATCATACATATTCGCATTTAGATTATTTACATTATTTTGTTCCTATACATTTTCACATGATAAGCCACTTTGTTGAGTTATGATTTGTGGCCAGATCACTTCTGAAAAGTAAGCTAATAGCTCAGTGGGCTTTACCTGCCAAGATTAAAATTGTTTAGTTTCATTTGTAAATATTTCTTCAAGTGATTTGTTTACCTTCGCTGTACTTTTCACTCCGATTGTGTTTTTGCATAGTTTGTTCTTGTAATATTCTGACACAGTGCCCCGACTGGACCATTTGTGAAAGAGAGCTCCATCGGCTCATCGTATTCCTCCAGTACAAATACATATACCGATTCTGACATGCACGCAACTGCCGTGTCGAGAGACAACCGGGAACCTCTGTAAGCAAGTTCAGTGGGGGATGCGCCCAGCACATGCGACCCCTGCTCACCGATGATGGTGGAGAAGCGGCGCGTGGGCTCGTTGCCCGTGAGCTGCTTGTAGAGCTCGGCATAGTGCAGCTCCAGGCTCTCGAGGAACGCCACGTGGCCACGCGTGCCACGCGAGCGCAGGATGTCGAGCAGCACTCCTGCGTGGCGGAGAGAGCGAGGACAACGGGGTGGGGGCGAGGGGGGGGGGGCAGGTAGTGGTGGGGGGGGGAGCAAACACCAGAAAAAGAATCAGCTGCGTGCCTGGGCAACGTTGACGGAGCTATTTGTAAGAATGCTAAATATCATCCCAAATTGAGCCACGCACCACCAGGAAGTTCACCACCCTGCAAGCTGTGGGTTACAACACCAATCGGGATCAGCATGGTTGCCTATGTACGGTGCGACAGAAGTTCAGCATACATACTGTACATACCTACAGGAGTAAACAGACATTATTAATTGGTGATTTTCCAGATTGTTCCAGATTGGAGAAGTTTTAGGGACGAAGGAATTTCAATCCTAATCTCATGATGAGTCTTGGCGTGAGACAAAGGACTTTAGTGCCACATCTTGGATCGCAAGGGATAAAGACTGATTTAAGCAGAACAATCTTCAATTGCAGATACTTAATAAACACTTTTAAGACAAACTTAGACCAGAGTGGAACAACCTGTAATGATCGTGGAAGGTAGCCAAACTGAGAATGGAGGTCAGTGGTAACGCGAGCGACTCGTTTACAATAAAGCAGAAGGACATATGGAAGTCTGGGTCTAGACTATTGAAAGTTGTGGTATGAGCGTTTTTTTTTTAAGCCACATCTCCATTATCGATAACTGGCATGACGGTGGGTATGACAAGTGAGCGGTGAGTGCATAAAGAGAAGCACGTGCTTCTGATAAAGAAGTGCAACTCATTTCAAAAACTTTAAAATATATTAATATTAAAATTCAGGTTGGAATGAAGCCTGATATTTCTCAGATTTAAAATGTTGTTTGATGGTCAGTCCCACAAAGTGAATTGTACAGGTATTGAGGACCGAGGCCTGTGAAAAATTAAATGATTAGTTTCACTTTCATTTCACAGGAGACTGAGCAAAGTCTCATTCCACTGAAAAAAAATCCAGTTGCAATGGTGGTTGGCCATCAGGTACTGATGGAACAGGCTTGTATTACTACTATAATAAGCCAGGAATGTGTGTGTGTCCCGCGCTTGACGTCACTCCACGAGCCCCCCCCCCCCCGTGTGACGTCACTCCACATGAGGCCCACCCCCCCTCATTAATATTCACGAGTGGGTGGATGTTTACACTAACGCAGAGGAAGGTCGAGCTGAATTAAATAATTGATTACGCAAAGTCGCTTCAAATATGACGTTTCTTTACAGAAAGTGACGGTAAATCAATATTCCCAGCAGTGCGTAACGTCACTGCAAAAGAGCCCCCCCCCATCATTAATAATCATGAGTGGGTGAATCACATAAGAAAACCTAAATGTATATCTTTAATATTTCAGCTTCCGTCCTAGGACGAGCAAACAGAATAGTAAATTCATGTCCAAGGCATGGAAGCATAATTTTTAGTGGGTCAGATTTCAGGGTGAACAAGTGTGGACTAAGCACTCAACCTTGAGAAACCCACTTGCAGATTGCGGGAGACTGTCGGAGTCTTTCAATCTTGAGATAGGGGGATGCGATTATCTATTTTGCGTAATGCGATTTGTAATGAACAAAGGCAGTCGGATAGGTTATATGAACATAAAAAGACATCATTTAAAAGGGCCATTAAGAGCAATATTGCAATGTTGACCTGACCCAATAGCCACATTGTGGTGAGTTTAGGAAGAGGCCTGCTCTCTAAGCAGGAGACAATGTGTTTGCTATGATTACAAGTTTTTTTTCTTCTCCACCATATTCTCTAGACGTGGACACTATTTACAGCTTCACCTTCATGTGGAAGGTTTACATGAGCCAATTAGCAACCCTTAGGTCCCAAAGATAGTGACAAAGCACGGTCAAACACAACGAACAATAAAATGCCATAACCATTAAATGTAAACGGGACATACGGGATAGAAAGGGTAAATGAAATATTTGCAAACAGATGCCGTTGAGGCCTAAAGAGCTTGCTATTGATTGAAGTTATTGTTAGTTACATCCTGATGAGAGTGGTGCTGGTTCAAAACATGGTTGTTATTTCCCCTTCAGGAGAAGAGAGTGTTTGTGATCCAATAAGCAGATTGCACAGGCTACGTTTCTCTTCATTTTCAATTAAATTCATTTGGTAGCCTACCTGCACTGCCATCTGGCCCTTTGCTCACATTGCACGACAGCACGAACACACAAGTGGCTTCTCCAGGCATTTGGTGTGGCCAAAAGCACGTGATGTTGCCACAGAGAAGAGGGGGCTACAAGAGTTAGGGGGCAAAACTAAATAAGTGTAATTTATGACATGTGAAACGAGGGTAAATATAACTTGTTAGTCATACTGTCGCAGTCGGTGCTGTCGTTTGCCTTTATATATAACCCCGGTAAAAACTGATGCTATTTCATGTATTTGTCTTATCAAGGATAAAATATATACACCGCACAGCAAATTTTGACTTAAAACTTTTGTGACTGCAGGAATTCATATTCCTTGGTTCTTTCAGTAAAGTCACATAGATAGAAAAACTAAAAGTAAATAAAATAAACTATGACGTTTCGATCACAACACCAGCGATCATCATCAGAGGGACGATTGCTTGGGTCATGATCGAAACGTCGTAGTTTTTAATTTTTTCTTTATTTACTTTCATTTTTTCCATCTAGGTGACTTTGCCGAAAGAACCAAAGAATATGTTCAGGCCAGTAAAGTACAACAGTGCACTTTGTGGCCAGTAGCACCGTAGCATGCCCAGCTGGACTTGTTTCCTTATTGCTGAAATGACCAAATTACTAGTTCCTAATTTTCGGGGTTCTGATGACAATTCCGTTGGTGTTGTGTGTGGCAAGGATTGCAATCCACCAGGCTCGGGATTTCATTGCAGCGTACCAAACATTACACCACCGCCCACGACCACTTTTTGTTTAGAATAGACTACAGTACGGTGTTTTTAATTCACTGTTGCCAGAAATGACACCCATTTTTGTCATTGCGGTTATTTGACCATACTTCACCATCCTGATCAGTGTGTTGGAGGGAGGTGATCCCTGGACCAATTCAAATAGCACCTCTCACTGATGTTTGTCATATCTAAGAATCAAACTCAGGTGGTTTGTCATGGGACCTTATTGCCCGTATCAAAGTATGAAAAATAAGAAGAGGTTTTACCCTGATATGAGAATAGATTTTCCCCTTTTTTCTGGCAACAAAACAGGTGGTAAGATGGGAAAACACCAAACTGAAACCTTTTACAAGGAATCATGTCTGCATTAACCACAATACTTGTGGTCAGAATGCAAACAATAAACACTCTGATAATATAGGCAATGTCTTTAAAACTGATTGGCCTACACCTAAAACCTTCTTTATGGCCGAGTCTCACTACCAGTGTTAGACCACAGAACGCCAAAAGGCGAACAAAACAAAGACAAGCCACGTATCGGAGCATTTCGCATGATATAGCTGCTCACCCCAAGCTATAAATGCTCTGATATGTGTATTGTGTTTGTATTGTTTAACTTGCATACATACACATGTACATACACACGTTGCTGACCTCGTCAAGGAGCATAAATATCCTGCGAACTCCTGTCATCCATCGAACAAAGTAGAGTTACTGCATCGCGTGCTTTCAGATGCGCTTCTGTGGCCGTCTGGAACACTTCCTTCCGATATTAGGAAGCGACTGGAGCTACGCACTTTTAAATCTAGATTTAAAGCTCATTTCTTTATAACTTATTTTTGTGTTGTTCTACTTCCCCCGCACATCCATTTAGCACGGTTGGCTACGTACGGCGCGAAAGAAGTTCAACGTACATACACACACACACACACGTACGTACGTACCAACGCGGCGCGAGCGCGTGGAGAGGCTCAGCGAGTTGAGCACCTCGTCCTCGTCCTGCCCGTCGATGACGCGGCACTGGCGCAGGTACGGCGTGAGCCGTGCGGGGTCGATGACGCTCGTGAGACGCATGCGGTGGTTCTCCACCTCATCCCACAGGTGCGCCTCCAGCTCCTCCTCCCGCAAGTCGGCACCGAGCATCTCCGCCGCGGACGTATCCTCCACCATCCCTTCCATCCCTCCGCCCAAGGGGCCGCCTGCTCTTCCGAGACCACCCGCCCCTCCGGCCATCCCACCGGTAGAAATGTATTCCCGAACGTTCACGCCACTAGCGGCGGTCCTGCCGGCCATCTCGCCAGTGGAGAGGGTTTCCCGACGAATCCGTCCTCGCACCGCTCCTCTGCCAAGTATCCCGCCACCTAAGTGTACCCCAAATATCCCTCCCCTAGCGTTGCTCGCCATGGTAACTCCACCTTGAGTTGGTTCGCTTCCGGCCATGCGTTCCTTAGGTGTGCAATTGCCAGTCTTCAGCATCCCTAATAAATGTACTGGTCAGAAAAAAAAGAGAGACAGAGAGAGAGACACACACAACATACGGTCAATGCAAACTCAAGGTGCGTCCCATCACTTACCAAAAGCGCTCTGATGCGTACACGTCAAAGATCGGTGTACAGCAGCAAAGTCCCTGGTGCGTTGTGGCATTTTGGAATCGACCAACAGGCGAAAGCAATTAAATAAAATGATGAACTGACAAACACGTCGACATAAAACAACGACATAGTAGGTATGTATGGTGAACTTCTCTCACACCGTACGAAGCCAACCCTGCTGATCGGAGCCGGACTGTACACATCGAAATGAACACAGTACGCAGACACAGAAATCCAAATAAAAGCATGAAATCGATGGACAAACAGACAGCCATCCTGACTAACAATTGCCAATTAAAGACAGACACACACGCGTACCGACTGCCAGATAAAACGTCACACCCAGACCCTCGAAGTGAACTCGCGGAGCCGGTTTCTCGCCCGGGTGGGTAATTCAACCCGAGCCTCCCGCGTCTGCGATTCGAATTGAGTCGCGAATGTTGATGGGGGGGGCGACAGGGCCGGTTGTGAAAATTCCACATTTTCATCATGGCACCAAGTCCGTTCCCGTCGTGACGTATCATTTGAGAAAGAGACACTCGCGCGCGCACACACACACACAAATAAATCATCATCAACCATGGTCAATCCACTGCTGGATGAAGTGCCCACACAAAAAAACCTATTTGGTTCGGTGTGCCTCGAAGATCGAGCAAGCTCCAAAGATTGCGAGCTTGAGAGAGATTGAGATGAACTGCGGCACTGTCAGACTTCATGAATGCATTGGCCGCAAATGTGGCTGAAATGCAAATGGTTCATCACGATCACCTCTTAAGCGCTCAACATCTGCAGTTTGCGTAACCCTGGTGCAAATGCGTCAGGCGAGCGGTATACATCTTATTTTTACCGCGTTATTTCCCGATTTTAGAAACCGGTCTTACTTTAAATAATTGTCCATACAGGTTGTTTTTGTTGGGTTAGATCGCATAAATGTGTCGTTAAACCCCACCACCACCCGACAGCCAATTCGTAAGGTTTGTCAAGTAAACAGAACATGCCAATTGTCACTAGTACAGCACACCGGTGTGTTGGAGAGTAAATCCACATTTAAAATGTGAATTATATTTCCTGGGCTGCATCACCTTACTTTGTTCTTTTAAACTACAGTACATGTGTTGCATAATCCTAATTGTTGAGCATTCATACAAATTGAAACAAAGCATTCCGAGAAGACTTTATTGATGTTAAGAGATTCTAGATTTGAAGCTTTCGGGACTGCAAGGATTCATACTCTTTGATTTTTTCGGAAAAGTCACGTAGGTAAAAAATAAAATAAATGAAAACAACTCCATTAAATCACGACGTTTCGGAGGCAACACAAGCTTCCGTCTTCAGGTGGAACCGTTACAGCCAAAATCACTGTAGTAAGTGGGGGATGTTAAGAGAGCTAGATAAAAAAAAAGTTAATTGAACCAGAACAATTATGGTGCTGTTATTTTCAAATAAACTCTGCCTCAGGGGTCCCACAGACCAGTGTATATCTGAACCAGTCCCAAACCTGGATAAAAAAAAGAGGGAGGGTCGGGTGAAAGGTTGCTGATACTTCTGCCGTGAAGAAAAACAAAAGTAATTCCAATGCGCGTGACGACCACAGAAATGACGAAATGTGCAGAAACACCTACGGGCACATCTGCCTATGGGTCGTGATGATTCATTATCAAATCCGCAGCAAGATTGCGGATTGCACAATGCATCATCATGATTCATTTGCATCATTAGGATTAATTTCAACATATCCTGTAAAATATAAACACAGTATTTCTGCATTGACAGCCGAAACGGCCTCGTACAATTAGTTGAACAAGTGTGCGGGTCTCAAACTGCGTGAGATAACTAAAGTAGCGAGACGATGCTGAATAAGTGATTTACCGGCAGGGCCTCGTGGAGTCTCAACACATTTCGGGTGGCTCCACTTTGAACTGTTTGGCCCAAAAATAGTGTAAAGTGTTTGTAGTGTGTTAATGTGGGAGGGGGGGGGGGGGAATCAAGAGTTTAACACGTTGTCATAATAGGTGTTTTGGGTTAGATCGTGGAAATATAAATTTGTCGTTAAAACCACCACCACCCGACACAGCTAATTAGTAAGGTTTGTCACGTAAACGAAAAACATGCCAATTAGTTACTAGTTCAGCACACCGGTGTGTTGGAGAGTAAACCCACTACAACATTTACAATTAAAGTAACCATGCCGTTTCACTGTTAATTACAGCTTCGTCAGGCGACAGCCAGAATTGTAGATAAATATTCCTCCTGTTTCGATCTTAATGTGATGTCATCACTTGCCAGCCAATCAGGTGCAGGCTGGGGGGGGGGGGGGTTTAATGTAGTCATATAAATTACAATGGTTAACTATTGTTGTTTGGGTTTTTCACAGTTAATCAACATACATAATTTATGCACACCATGCCTGCTCACAGTTAATCACCATCGACGTATGGCGACCTGTATTAGGCATGCAATTAAACAGTGTATTACTTAATAATACGCTTCCAGGCAGCACTAAGCCTAAAACAATCAGAACGGTAAAAACTATATTTCTCTCAATCTCAATAGATCCTATAATTTATCTTTGCAAGAAGTAACTAGTTTTGCAAAAAAAAAAACCCTCAACGTTATCAAAATCACCCGAGTGTCATTGTTGGCACGATAATATTGTTCGCGAAAGCCTACGACTACACGTTAAAGCCCTCAACTCGGTACATTTCAGGGTAGAGAGGGAAGTGGCGTCAACACATGTAAGATCTCCTCTATATAAATATCGACACTGCCAGCTGTATTCACGCTCACGTCCGCATTTCTATATAAGCACTGTACGAAAACCACTAACATCCCGCCCACACAGTCGCTCAAAGTGAGACTTTCCACGTGCCAGCATCTCTCCTCGCTCTCCTCACTCAACAGCGAACTGATCCTTTCCCACATCAGCATTGTTTTCTCTCCAGATGAATAATATCGTGCCTACAATGTAGCATGCAAAGCATCGTGCATTAGTAGACGTAGCCTATATGGTGTGTGTCTTTTGTGCCTCCTTAATTTCACTTCATTAGTGGGGTTTTTGTTTTACAACAGAGACCATCATTTAGTTTTATTGTCTCTTGTGCAATATATACAAATGTATAAATCTAAGCAGGCGAGCTTGTGCAACGGGAAATTTTAGTTGTCTATGGGAGCCAGTTAACAACATAATTTAAAGTATAAAACAAGTGACAAACGGACCACAGCGTACTTTAACCTCACTGATCTCTGACTAGAATGCATTCATTTACTTACCAACATTAATCACATGAACATATATCCTCAAAATTTACAACTCGAATGTCGATTTCATAACTTCATCACGAGTGTATTCAAAGCGTCAACAACTGGCTGAGATTAAGCACTGTAGGAAAATAAATTGATCATGTGGCATTTGCATATCAAGGAATGATGGTAAAACATCCAAGTCTGTGCCGTGTTTTCAAAAAGGCACTGCACGCACTGGAGAAGAGGGCCCAGCCAGTAGACTCGAGTTTCAATCCACTTGTGAAACAATGCTTCCTTAAACTAATTTAAACATCAAAGGTTCAAGGGGGAAGGATGGTAGTTTGATAGGAAGAGGATTTAATTTGGTAAACAAATGACTCTGCATGGCAGTATTGCCTATTTGACTCGATGTGAAAAAGCTTGCAATGTTTCTCGGGCAAGGCATTTTCATTTAGCAGGGGATTTTCAAGCATAATGCCAGGAGGCTTTCAATCTGACGAGCAGTGGCGGCTCCTGCAAAATCTCTCAGGGGGGGCAAATGTCTGGATGATTGATAAGGATAAGGTCCACCCATGCAATGGATAAATTAACAGCTTAAGCATGTAAAGGCAACTTCACTTCTTTAATATTAGTGAAAAATAAAGTGACTCTTACAATACATCTTGTTTGTTTCTATACTCACTATTAAAACAAACCACTCAAGTTTATTTTATTAAAGATTCCACTAGGTGGCCACAAATTATATTGTTGGATGAAACGTGCTTACGTATGATGACGTAAGCACGTATGATGACGTAAGCACGTTAGGGCGAGCCCTCCCGGAAGCCATAGAGAATGCATTGGAGCGCCCCCCGGTCGAAAAAAAACGTCTTTGAATGTAAGTCTATGGGGCCACTCGGGGCGATTCTCAGCCGGAGGGAAATCGCCCAAAAAGAGGCGGTACTCCACAGAACGTAACATGACGCTGATTGGACTATATCCAGAGGTACAGTGACGGCTAGCGTGACTCTGTGGTTCAATGACATTGGTGGTGCGTCGCCCAATCGCCCTAATGAAGAAATCGCCCCTGCTGACGAGAGACCTCTAATCAAACCTAGGAGGGCCTCGGACAAGCTGTGCCAGGCAGAAAGATATCTTGGTTTTGAGTATGCAGAGAAACGGCTGTTTATTAAGATGTACTCGATGCATTTTGAACTTCTTTCGCACCGTACGTAACCAACCGTGCTAATCCGGCTTGCAGGGGAAGGACAACAAACTAAACACAAAAAGCAGTTCTAAAGAAATGAGTTTTCAATCGAGATTTACAAAGTGCATAGCTCCAAATATCGGAATGAAAAGTAGTGGACCCACCTGGCCAGAGCCATTACAAGAGCTGTTACATCACTATTTACATAAAATAATGTTTGTCAATTGTTGTAGACACATTTGTGTCTATTATATATACATTTCTTATATTATTTGGCATCGAGTCTGCATTAACCACACATACTTGTGACAAAACATGCTTTGATAATATATAATGAATATATATATACATACTATATGCATATGGCATTATTTGGCATCAAGTCTGCATATATCAAGAAATATATAATATATATCAATGCATGTTTGTTTGCATGTTTTTTTCCACAAGTATGTGTGGTTAATGCAGACTTGATGCCTTGAAAAAGGTATCCATTTTGATGTTTGACATCTTATTACCTGTTTTATTGCCAGAAATGGTAAAACATTCTCATTTTTCATCAGGTTAATGTACGTTTCCCACTCAGCCATGTTTGCAATAAAACCACATCACCATTTTACCACTGGCTAAATAATGTGCCAATTGAATATAACCCAGAATCCTTCTTTTAGAGTTCTCAGAAAGAAAAACTTTAGATTTCTGATGCAATATTGAAATAAATTGGGACACTAATTAGGGCAGCACAAGCAGTTGCTTCTGCATCCTGCTACGTTTTAATTTTAAAATCATCCAGAAGGGAAGCAAGACGAAAATCGGTTTCGCACTACCACAGGTAACACACGCAGGACACGTTATCATATGATTACAATACAGTGCACGTATATAAATTACATTTATTTTCAAATGCCAGTGATTGTGTCCAATTCGCAATACTAAATCGGGACTGCCTACCACGTGACGTTGCAGCAAAGCCTGAAGTGTCAGCGAATAAGTGCGCATTGCTTTGAACGCTGCATTTCTCCAACTCATAAAATGCATCTTCTTGGTACTTTCGGTAAAGTCAAGTAGAATGGAAATAATAAAATAATAAAACTAAAACATAATAAAATAATTATTTTATATAATAAAATAATTATTTATATAATAAAATAATTATTTGTATGTTTCATTTTTATTATTTTGTATATGTTTTACCCTTTAGTTTATTATTTCCATTCTACGTGACTTTACCGAAAGAACCAAGAAGATGAATCCCTGCAGTCACGAAAACTTTAAATCGAAAAAAAAATCATAAAATGCAGTTCCGTACTGTTTTCCTGTTTGCCAGTTGAGCAACCTGCCATCAAGTACTGCTTTGATCCGTCTTATAAATCCAGCAGGCCTATGTGCCACGATGTACCTTAGAGCATATTGAACACGACTGATATTACCGGAAGACAAATAGCCCCACGTTATCACCGACACAAATATACGCAAGTGTGCCAGTTGCACGTGTTAATGTTTGTGTTATAGCTCTGTGTGTCACAAAGGAAGTTGTCCTGAAAAAAATTGTTTTTGTATTGCTGAAATATGTTCAGTGCACTGTACGAGCTGACTTTGTTTTTATCTTGGGAGTGGATCTGACCAAGTGCCAAGTCACACCAGCCTCACACAACTTGGCATGCTCTATATTTAGCCATTTATCACGAATCGAGATCGCTGGCTTCTCATTCAGCGCCTGGTCGCCCAGGTTCAAAGACTGCAAATCGAGAGAAGGAAATTACAAGTACTGTAAGTGCCAAGGTGCAGAGTTATGGCTCTCTTTTTCAAATTACCAGGGTCACAGTTGGCACTTTGTGTAACACGTGATGTAGGTAGCAAGCAACATGCTCGTTGTTCCTCTCAAGCCACTGCTGGCAGAAGGCCCTCCACACTTCCACACTGACCAAACATCTCGCAAAAAGTGGGAGTAACCCACACTTTTCCTCAACAGCACATGACCAGCCAATCTACTGAATGCGGTTTACCCATTTTAGTATACTGCCAAGTGGTCAGAAGCAGCGGGATTTTAGAAACTTGCACCATTGTTTCTCGACTGCCGATTGAACTGGCTACCTTTGGATTGCAAGACCAGTGTGTGAACAATGACACGCGATTCAATATTGCATACAACTGAATATTTTATATGCCATGCATGCATATTGCAAAATAGACCGTCTCAAAGAGCTCTCATTATCATCAGCCATTTTCTATACACTGTTGGAGGACCTCTCCCACGCCATCTCCCCATGGTTCAGTGCGACCACCATGTAGTGCCCTCTGCTGGCAAAGTATGCCCACAGCAGCAGCCTATGACACCTGTTTTATGGAATACAACACCGTGTTGTACATCGTACATGTACGAATGTATCACATCCACATTTACATGTGTACGCTATGTAAACAATACTCTAATATAGAGGATGAGGTTCCTGCTATGCCAATGCCAAATTCTGGCTGGCCCCAGCCAGAGACAAGAGCGACCCCCCCACTCTCTCTAGACGGAAGTCTACTCATCCATGCTTGCATTGACAGAGTTGGGACCACAAGACACATCACAATCCAGTACGACATTTACGCGGACCACTCAACCCCCTGGCAACAACACGCATTCGCTTATCTGTCAATACTAGTAATAAAATGATTAATATTACAGGAACATAACATTTTTTAAACGCGGCATAAGTTTTTTATAAGTCGGGGGAGGGGGACATTTAGATTTTAGGGTTAGGGTAGTTTACGTAACTTATTATTCGTTATTACATCTCATAAGAAAAACTATTCATTCATGTCGGAAACAAAAATGGATACACGTTGTCACTATTTCGGGATCAACCTGTGCGTTTGCATCACAGCCCCGCGGATCACCGGTGTGGAACCATGGACCGCACTTCTGAGAACCACTGCAGTCCATTCCACTCTAAGTGTATTTATTCAGCATGGTAAATCAATCGCTAAAGCCTCATGACCACGTTAAAGACGGGAGACGTTTTACAACGGAATCACGGGTTGCAACAACGAAAGCAGGACACCGTAATGTATCGGTGACTACTGCAGGTGTGTGTACTTTCTAAATATATCGACACACACTACTGCTTATGTATAAAATGCCCGTAATCTGCCCAGCCTAGTCAGATCTCAGAAGCTAAGCAGCATTGAGCCTGACTAGTAACTTATCGATGGGTGGCCATGATGCTGCCCGCAACCCACATGCAGTTGGCGTTGTGGGCAGCGCAGCAACATCCACCGTCTTCCACCTGCTATAACCAGCATGGTGAAGTATGGTCAAACAACCATCATCCGCAACGCGTGGGAGGCCCTCATCCAGCAGTGGATTGGCTAAACAGGCTGGAAACATGTACAAGACCTACAACGCACTTAGACGATGCGTGCCATTTAGTGCGGTATTATAGAATCAAATTGCTTTTATCTTTAAAGCACAGGAAACGTTTAGACAGATTAGCAGCAACATAGTGCTTATGCGATGAAACGCCCGGTGTTATTTGGAGGTATATAACAATATACTGACGATGGAAACTTAAGTTAAAGCACTTCCGAAGCATGTTCACCAACAATGGACGACACATTTCCGATTACCGAATTATCTGAAGCCGTGCTGGGCCCTACCAACCTGCACTAAACACAGCGTGGTGAGACGTAAGCAGAGAGAACCCGCCGTGACTGACAACGGCATGGCAAAGCCTTCATCCAGCAGTGGATAGATTCTGCTTGTATCCTTGCGTACGAGGGCAATATGTTCAGGAGCTAGACGCCAATGTTGAGGTTTGCTCGCCACGACGAGAGGGCATCAGCAGACACGAGTTGGTGTCGTTTTGCTATTTTACCTCCGTTGAAGCAGCGTAAGCTACAGTGGTTCACTCTATGGCCCAAAGTGTTGTAGATTGACCGATAGACGATCTACGTATTCACCCTAAACTGCACCGCGAATACAAGTCGAGTTGCACTGTGTCGTGTGTGTGGCACCGTTTGCCACTGTAGCGAAGTAGCGGCCCCTTTGAATCGCCTCTCGTAAAGTTATATTTTGCTCCAAAGGTCAAACGGCGCCCAACAATAACCTCATTTACGCACGAACGGGCGCTTCGGATGAGCACGGCGTAGGACACGGAGACGTCCCAACACACAACACGCGAAGCGCGCGCCACTCCGCAACAGGTCAATGACGGCGGACAGCGACCAGCGAGCTCACGCGAGACGCGCGTTCACCTGGAGAGGCTCACCTGGGGAGGCTCACCTGGGGAAGATCACCTGGGGATGATCACCTGGACATGTGCGGCGGCAACGGTGACGTTCACTCGTCCCGAGAGCGCACCCGGCGAGCGGAGTTGGGTCCCAGCCAGCCTTTGTCCGCTGAACACGTAGCAAGGCGACAAACACAATTTAAACTCGTCAACTATTCAACAGGTGAGTTGAAAGGACTAACGCATGTAAAAGCCAGGCTACGGGTTGCTGCCTTGGCTAACACAGCAGCAACAACAACAACAAAAACGCAGCACAAAGAGTAGAATACAATTACATCTCCCCACACCTACGAACGGTAGGTCGGTAGGTAGGTAGGTACAACGAAAGCTAACAAACACGTTTCCAGCGCGGGCACAACGCTCACAAAAGGGATTGTGAGCCGTGCAGGAGGAGGGGTCTCCCACTCGATGCTTCCCCGCCCATCATATACTCACTGCAGCTCCTCCCTTTGCTTTCAATTCCCCTCCCCCGACCCCCACCGGGTTGCTTTCAAATGCAGGTCCTCGTTCAACTAAGGAGAGGTTTTGGCTCTCTCTGCTGGTCTGCACAGGGCTACTGGAAATCGAGCGAGTCCGACCCTGCTGATTAGACGTTCAGTGTCAACGCCTGTCTCCAGAGTGTTCTTGTAATGCCCCTAAAATTACGCACTCCCATCAGCTAATTACGCCACTCTGTCTTATAACTTACATTGCAGCCAAATGGAAAATGAAAGATAAGCCACAGCGTGATTGTGGGCCATTCAACCCAATCTATGGACCAAAGGGTAAACCACCGTGTTCTGTGCTTTCTCGACGGAGGGAACAGTAAAAACACATTCCTGCGGAGGGAGCTGGTAGGAACGTTGGGTTTCTCGGTCAATGGCCAGGGTCAACGGCGGCGTGGTGTATTCCGCAAATATGCCCGACTGTGAGGGCGGGCACAAGCCGGCGTGAGTAGGTTAAACGTTGAGTTTTATAAGGGCACCACGGGGTGACCAGCCCCTCCCCACCCAGAACCCACCCAGCCCCACCCTCTCCACCCAGCCCCTCCCCAGCCTCCCCACCCAGCCCCTACTCACCCTCCACTCTCCACCCAGCCCCACCCATCCTATTTTTGGAAGCACGACGGACGGACGGACACAACAATCCCCTGTGGGCTGGTGGAACCAGGTGGTTCCTCCCAGTACTATGACAAGTTCTGTCCTTCAGCACTCTAGTGGCTATCAAACAGACCTCGCGACATTGGCATGCAGCTCCTGGCCATATTGTCATCCGCAAAAATGTAATGGCGTCAACATTTCGATGGCATTCTCGAGTTACGTTTTTTATTCCAAATTAAAATTTCCAAAAGCACTCCAAACCGGTTGGCTCTCACTGTTTGGTTAACTATTTTGATATTTTATCCTTTAATAATCTGCCAAAATACTGCCGTACGTACTCTGTACTATGTTTCCAGTTGTATCTCTCGCACCATTGCATAACTATTATTATTTTTATTCGGTGAACTTGTACAATATTTCTGGTTTACTCACGTCCGTCTGTAGCCCAGATATGTCGCCTTTGTTTTTTTGTTATTTACTCATTTCCTGTTGTTTGTTTCCATTGGTTTGTATAATGACTACGTCAACAGAACATCAGAGATGGTTAAGATTTTCTCTATATATATATTTGTGGCTTTATTTTCGTCAGTTTAATTCTCGGAAAAGATATTGTACTATACTATTGCCTTCAACAGAATTCTGCCTCGTTAAAATAAATTCACTGTAGTAGTAGTAGGCAGAACGAGTAATGTACTGAGCCTGATGTAGTTAGAAAACACACTTTTGAGCCCTGTCGACAACGAGATTCTTGACAAAGCTGACCGATTAATAATCTTTAATGCATTAAAAAAGATAATTTACCTTGTATATGCAGAACACATGCCCGCGGGGTGCCCATGTGAGGCAGTACAAGAAGCAGCTCTGTGACTATGCTCTGTGTGAAGTTTGGGTGTCGTTTGCATGCGTGTGTTGTTTGCGGACATTCTGGATTCCTTCCTTAATTAAACATGTTACAATAGGATGAGGTCAAACATTCCATGCCTGGAAAGAGCTCTGAGACTTAGTCATGCTTTCATTGGGCTCAATAAGGTATGGAGTCAAGACATATAGGTTGTGAAGTTATCTTTGTGGACCATTGAGTGTTATCTCCTTGTGTGCGTGTGTTTTCTCTGAGTACTACACTTTCCTCGCATGTACAAAACATCTATTTGAAACATACTCTGCAGTCTTAAGACTCTTAGATGCTTACCTGGATATATAATGTCATACAAATTCATTACCCTAATCAAAATATTGTGAACATACGGGTATTGCCCACATTACTGCCATAGTTTATGGTTAGCACACTGGACTTGCAAATCTAGAGGTTCCTAGTTCGATTCCATTTTCAGCGCTGCAGTTGCAGCAATGGTGCAAGTTTCTTAAATGCCCTTCCTCTGTCCACCTAAAAGTGTGAATTGATATGCCATTGTGAGTCGACCAGCAGGTTATGTATGGTGGGGTAAATTGTGGGTACTGACACCCCTGCCAAGATGTCCTGGCAGCGTGGAAGGGTAAGGCCAAATACCTTTTATATTGGTAGGAACCCACTGGTTCCACCAGCCCACAGGGGATTATTGTGTCCGTCCGTCGTACAGGGAGGGGCTGGGTGGGGAGGGGCTGGTCACCCCGTGGTGCCCTTATAAAACTCAACGTTTAACCTACTCACGCCGGCTAGTGCCCGCCCTCACAGTCGGCCATATTTGCGGAATACACCACGCCGCCGTTGACCCTGGCCATTGACCGAGCAACCCAACGTTCCTACCAGCTCCCTCCGCAGGAACGTGTTAGGGGCTCTCTGGAGTTCACTCGAATATAGCTCTTTCCCTCGAGCATGAGCTAGGTGACATCTTTACCTTATTTTTACTGCAGGTAGGAGAGCTTCCATACTGGGATTCCACCATTCCACTCCTAAAAGCTCCCCTTTATCATTCTAACTCCCTCAGTCATAGATGGGTAGCTCTACACCAGTGACGTGCGATGAGGTCAATGGCTGGGGAGGCACTGGCTAGTGTCAGAGCCAGATTCACACACTGAAGGAGGCGTGGTCTCACGGAGGGGGGCGTGGTCTCATGGAGGGGGCGTGGCCTCACTGAGGGGGCGTGTTAGACACATCTCAATGAGGCAGATGTGATAGCTGCCTCCCCTGGTGCTTTTTCATTGTAGCGAGCCTAAATATCTTTATACACATACGTGAAATAAGTTACCTGGAGTATGGAAGGCGAGGACATGAAATGAAGGGGTCTACAAACATTATATTGGTGACATACTGAGATCGTAACAAGCACGCGCTTATTGCCCGCGCTCCATCCAGTTACTGAGGGGTTGCGCAATCAGAGGGGAGGCTGAGCTCGTCGCTGCCTCACCTCTCGTCTCTCCCTGTATTTGCAGCGGAGCTCCGCAAATTTGGCGATTTTGACTATAAAATGATTGGAATCGTACAGAAATGACATTTATAACACAGATCAGTGGAAAAATCTTAATATTTATTTTATTTGATTATTCTCTTTTTTTACTTTTCGTAACAGCTATTTTCATTGGAGTATGACAGGTGAGGCTCTCCACTCCACTGATCAAAGTCCATTTATGTTCGGGTATCTGAACAAAATTGGCAAGTAAATACCCCCTCTCCCTCGAGATATACTAAGTGAATGGAGGAGAATGATTAGCATGTATTAATTGGATTGTGCCAAACACGTCTATATTGACGGAGTTTACAAAGGTGTGTCACCAATTTTTTAAAATTATATTTGAGACATGCATATTACTACTATAATGAGCCAAGAATGTCTGTTTGTGTGTAACGCGCGTGACGTCACTCCATATGCCGCACCCCCCCCCCCCGTCATTAATATTCATGAGCGGGTGGATTTTTACACTCATCCAGAAGAAGGCCCTGATTGGAAAAAAAATATTTTCTCGCAAATTCGCTTTAAGTTTGACGTTTCTTTATTGAAAGTGAATCTAATAAATAATCATGCGCAGCAACAAATTGTATTTTGTGTCTTTATTTATTTATTCACCACTTGAGACAAAAGGTAAGTCTAATTTATGCTTCTGCATTATGGTAAAATAGACATTTCTCGGTGAGTTTCCAGATATTCTATCGAATTCCAATTTATTTCAACCCCAGCGACCGAAAGCAGAAGAGAATAAAGTATCAGAGCAGTGAAATTGAACAAATTGAAGGTCAGTTATATACAGTGCTACAGTGACATGAAGCGAGGTGTTTCATGACGTAGTTTTGTGCAAGAATCACTGCCATTAATAGTGCTACAGTGAACTGCAGTGAAGTGTTTGATGACATACTTTTGTGCCAGATTTACTGCAATTAAATTTACACATAATACAATTATACTGTGCTCAATTTTTTCGTACATATTACAGCTTCCGTCCTATAAAAAAGGGTTGCCTTTGTTTTTATATCTAGACACACGCATGCAGATTGAATCGTATGCAGATTTAAGCGTACAAGTTTCAAATACCACTCACCACTCTTTGCCATAGGTGGGAATCGAAGTCAGGACACCAGGTTTATAGACCACTAGATCACCGCTTCATCGACTTCAGTGGACAGATAAATGGAAACGTTTAAGAATGCAGCGCTGCAGTTGTCACACTTACAATTCGTTTAAACCCCCTCCCAATAACAGCCAACTCTATTTACTGAGCAAGTCAAAATGTTTGGGATATTTTGTTTCCGCAATATTTTAAACTACACTAGCATAAGTACCCGGCGTTGCCCGGGTGAAAAATATATTTCTTAATAACCTTACATATATACACAGATGGGCTGCTACCCCTGCCCCCCCCCCCCCCCCCAGCCACGATCTCCTCGGACGCTGTGCAGTAATATGTACGGCCTATAGTGTGGTGGGGTGTCGAGGCCTAGTACCGTGCAGAGCCTCTGGCCTCGCCTAAATTGCCCACCCGGCTGAGGCTGGGTACGGGTGCCATCCCCCACCCCCCCGCGCTACAATAATACTGTCTAATCGCTATAATTTTATTATCTACCGACCCTATAATAGTAATTGCACACATTGTGGTGGGGGGGGGGGGAGTGAAGAGGACGTGAAACTTTGATGAATTTACCTCAGAGTCGCGTGTTAATGCGTGCGCATATTTTTAACGGGAATTAAAAATGGCGTCCACCCCGCAGCGAATGCGTCGCTACCCGTTGCCAGGGGCAACCGCCGTCCAATGAAACTGCGTATGGTCCGGCCACACAGACATACAGACAGACAGACAGATTTGCGATTTTATATATATAGATTAATTAAAGCCATGTGGGGATT